AGTTCGATGACCACCCTCCGCCAACCACTGGTGAAACACTGTCTCGAACTCAAAAAAGAAAAAAAAAAAAAAATAATTAGCTGCCTGGGGTCCGTGCCTGTACATCCGCAGCTACCAGGAGACTGAGGCAGACCGGCAGAAATTGCTCTGACCTGAGAGGCAGAGGTTGCAGTGACGCTGAGATCACCCACATTACATCGCGCCTCGGACAACCACAGCAAGTACAGACCACACCCCATACCCAGCAAAAATTTTCACTAAGCTGAGTTTCCTACGTACGAGTTTTATACTTTTCGGCTTATGACGGCACTCGCGTATATGGGTAACTACGTTAACAGTAATACCGATACCATCATAAACTCCATCCACCAAACTAATAAATACACTGAACTACAATATAACTGGTGAATTGAAATTCTACTTAGAGCTGCCTCTGCATGAGGTTGTCTCCCCCAATCTACCAGTCTACGAATCGGGGTCGACCTCCTTGTCATGGACGTAGCTTATGTGCGGACTTTCACTTGCGATACATGTTTATAAGCATATGAAAATATTGGACTCAACAGCGCAGTCTGTTTTGATTGATGTCTCACTTAGATCTGCTAGGCATTGCTGGAACCAAAGCCACCCCATAAATACCGGCTTGCTCCCAAGAATCTTCCAGCAATTACCTGGTGCAACTCTCTATGCGGGCTTGGTTATTGTCATTGTGTCCCCCAACAAAAAGTCTGTTGATATCCTACAACCCCAAGAACCTAGATCTGCTCAGGCTTACATTTGGTACCTACAGGGTTTGCAGATGTAACTTCAGTCTATTGATGTGGTCTCACGCGCGAGCGTCGGGTGGCCCACTTAATTTCAATCTGACTGGTGCTTCCGCTAAAACGGGCAATATTGGACACAGACGTGCTCAACAACCAGACAATCTACGTCCTGGTGTTCCGATAAAACGGGAATATGTGGACACAGACGTGGCTCAAACAACAGAAATGTATCGTCTGACAGGTCTGGAGGCTAGAAGTCCACAATGAAGGTGTCTGCAGGGCCATGCTCCCGCTGAAGGCACTAAGGAATCATCTGTTCCAGGCTTCTCTCCCAACTTCTGGTAGTTCCTTGTCTTGCGGCAGCAAACTCCAGTCTTCACACAGCATTCTCCCTTTGTGTGCATCTGTATCCACATATTCCCATTTTATGAGAACACCAGTCGTATTGAATTTAAGGCCCACCCTACTCCAGCATGACCTCATCATAACTAATTACATCTGCAACAACCTTACAGCCAAATAAGCTGACATTCTGAGGTTCCCCCATTCATTACACTCCATTCTGGGCAACAAGAGCAAGTCAGAAACACACATACACAAAACATTTTCCACAAAGTGAGTTTTCCTACGTAAGGAGTTATATTTTGTTATTGAGCCTGCTATAGGGTAATACGGTTAACAGATAATAAGATAATAATAAACTCCATCCCAAAATAAATAAATATAAATAAATAAACTGGTGAATGAGAATTTACTTAGAGTCCTCTGCATGAGTTTCTCCCCAATCTACAAGTCTAATGGGGTGACTACCTCTGACTACTTATGTTGGACTTCACTGTATATGTTTATACATATGAAATATTGAGATAAAGGCAGTGTGTTTTGATTGATAGGTGTTATTAGTCTGCTAGGATTGCTGGAACAAAGTACCATAAATAGGTTGCACCCAAGAATCTGGGCAAAGGTGCCACCGGACACTCCAAAGAAGCAGCAGCACCGTAGGTGGTACATGTGGAATTGTGTTTCAAATGCAACCCTACTGTATATATGTATTTTTGAAGAATGGTTCTTTTTTGTTAGTTTGTTTTGGGAT